GTGGCTTTTGTTGCTGCCTCCTGTACAGTGTTATGAGTCTCCATCCATACTTCTTCAAGGACTCTGTCCACCAAATCTAATTCCTCAAATCTGTTCTTCACTTCCACTGTGTATTCATATTTGGTTTAGCTTATACCTGACTAACCCAGTGATTTTTCCTGCTTTCTTCACTTTAAGCTTGAATTTTGCTATAGGAAGCTGGTGATCAGAGCCACAATGAGCTCCAGGTCTTGTTTTTCCTGACTGTATAGAGCTTCTCCATCTTTGGCTGCAGAGAACATAATCAATCTGATTTCGGTATTGTCCATCTGGTGATGTCCATGTGTAGTTTGATTGCCAGTTCGTTAACCTTCCCAAAATTAAATTTTCTGTGTTATTAACCAGTTGTATTGTTGTTCCCAGTAATCAGAAAAATACCAGAAAATGCTCCCTAGTGGCCAATTCTGTTATTGTATCTTTCAAATAGAAAAATACAGAAGAGAAAATAAAGGTATCCTTCCTTTGACATTTATTTATATATTATTAATTTATTCCTTTTATATCCCACTCTCACTAGTGTCACAGGACTACTCTGGGCAGGTTACAACTTGTAAAATAGAAAACAAACGCAAAAAGAGATTAAAACCAACAGCTATTTCAGATTAATGAAACTTGGAAAATATGTGTCAGTATGCCTCTCAACATTCCTTTGAATGTTCTTTAAAATTAGTTTTGAAAGTAAATAGTTTTGCTCATTGCTCGTTAAGTAACATAGGTGGTACTTGCTACACCTAACAAATAATTTACTATTAGTTGCATTGTTGCTTCTCATAAGTAACTAGTTATAGGCAATTACTTCTAACTAGTTACTTCTGCTCAAATCAAGGGTGCAGGACTTTTTTTTGGCCTGTGGGCTGGAGACCAATTTGGAAAGGGTTTTGAGGATTACATTCTAACACTGAGTTGGGCCAAGGATGTGGAGTGAAGTACTGAGTAGGCTGGGCCACAACAAAGTGGGCAGAAGTATAACTGGATAGAGGAGTGTTGACAGTTATCTACAAATGTCAAGATCTAAGCCCCAGTGCAAAACTCCCTGTCTGCAAGGCACAGCTCAATTTATACCCTGATTTTCTGTCACCACTGCTTGTCAATTGCAAAGGGAAGAGGCTCGTTGAATTATAATGAACACTGGAGATTTTCTGTCCTTAGTGCATAAACAGTGAGTTAGTTCAAGTTGTTCTTTCCAGTGTGTGTTCACAGCTTCCCTTGTTGTATATCTGTCCTGGCTCTTCCCTTTCTCTGCTGGGAAAGACACCACCGCTCATGCTGATCTTGAGCCCTTATCTCCAAGAGGGCTCCCCAGAGGATTCCTGCTAATCATGGACTATATTCTGGGCACCCTATTGTGCAACGTCTGCTCCAGCAGTTTGTGGCAAATTTAGACTCCTGCCTATTGGGATGTCTGGAGATTTAGAGCATCAATTCCTACCTATGCCACAGAAGTTCATTGAATTAGGCTGATGCAGTATCATGTGTAGAGCAATGCCGTGAAGTGTCTTGGTGTGGGATATGACCATTGATTCCCTCCATGGGTGGGTGGCATGTGGGTGTTGTCACTGCAACAGTCTTCTTATTGGTGGACATTGTGAGTGTTTCCATGGACACTGTTTTGTGTTTTTCTGAGTTGTGTGTTTTTGTCCCTCCTGTCCTTGGCTGAGTATGTGCAGAATTTGGCAGCTGTTCCAGCAGCAGAAGAGTGGCTTACTCACTCATAATTTCCATGTAGGATTCCTTAGTTCTGTTTCAGGTCTGAAATAACTGTTTCAGGTCTGAAATAACTAGCTACCATCCTGCAGTCTAGCTCTTCCAGTATAATAATTATGACCACATTGTTTCCCCTGTTTGTTTTTAAGAGAAACCATCCTCTGTTTTCTTTGTGCCCAAAAGAACCAGTATGATAATTCAGGGATTTCCCTTTATTATGTTTCTCTCCATTTCTCCAGATTTCTAAATCTACACATTCTAACTCTGGGGGAAGGTTGCAACCCTAATGTTGAGGACTGATTGATGATGGGTCCCCCACCCAGCCTCTTATAAGAAAGAGCTGGAAAAACAATATCATTTTACTCTGTCATTAAGAATTAGAATTGTAGTACCTTAATGACAGGATCACGGCTGCTCTTCAATATTTTAGAACCTGTTTAATATACTAGTATCATGGGGGACTCCCAATGCAGTGTAATGGATAGACTGACATACTAGGACTCAGGAGAATAGAGTTCGAATCCCCACTTGGCCATGGAATCTCACTGAGGGAGTGGATCTGGTAAAACCACTCCTTAAATGTCTTACTTACTTTGAAAAGGCCTATTAGGGTTGCTATAAGTTAGTCCCAATTTCACAGCACAAAATACACACAACCAGAAGGGAAATAATCTTATTGTAGCTGTTGGTATTTATTTTAGGTAAGACTGTACATTTGTAAATATCTTCAAATATTTAATTTAT